TCCAATATTTATTTATTATATTTGTTAAGACAAGTTGGCAATGGCTGCATTTAAAGCATTAAGTTATCCTGTGCTTTCCAATAGATTAGCATATTTATTCATATATACTTCTACTACGCTAATATCTTTATACATGAGTTCATATTACTTGGCTCAGTTGAATGCATCATTCCAAGTTTGATCATTAAAAGGTTTTACTAACAAATATAATTTAGGTAATAATCCACTAACAAGTCGTCTAGCTTTTATTGCATTAGGATATTAGAAAGCTTGTATTTTTACCCTTCGATATAATTCTAATAAAGCACAAGCATAGTCGTCCATAGACTCACCAGGTTGTTGTCGACGCCTTTCCAATTCAGTTGTCCAGATTTCTATCAATGTCTGAGACCTGAAAGCAGCAGGAAAGTTTTGGATAAAGTTAGTATTATTATTATTTCTTGTTCATGTAATGATACGATTGATATTTTCATTATTTAATGCTTGGTTGGCAGTCCACCAAGTAGAAGCTGAGTTTTTCAAGTATGCTAAAATAACTTCAATTTTTCTATTGTTATTGATGCTATTTGCATTGCAGACACGTGTAAACTCTTCAAGCCATCTAATAGGATCTTGGTTGTCTTTATAAAAGTAAGGCAGGTCAATGATATGGGTCTCTCTTCATTGAGGATTACCATTTATTGCTTGAACATTGGCTTGCAAGTTATTGATTAGTTGAAAAACTCCGTTATTTGCTGCTAGTTGTCCTTGTAGAGTGAACAATCCAGTCAATCCTTGAACTACTATGATAACATTTTGGATATCCTGTTGATTAACCATATTTACTTAAATTTGAAATAATAAGTCGAGGTTGAAATCTTCTCTGTCTAGTAGGTCAGGTGTATTAGAAAGAGTTGAAACAGATGGTGTATTAGATAAAGAAGTGGTTGTTTGAGTATTTGTAGATTGAGCTATTTCACTTATTTGATATAAAACTTCAAAGGATCACACTGAAAACTATTAGTTAAGACTAATGCGTTGTATATATCTTGTCGAATATTAATATAAGAATCTGAATTTGTGTGTATCTGATGCTAAGAATTAGAATTTCAATTCGTCTTAAAATAGAATCGGTTTACGTGCTATTTATTAACCGTTCTAACTGTTTTTTAGTATTAGAAATAAAGGTCGATACAGGAAATTCAGTAGAGAACTAATACCAAAAGTTAATGAATTAAGGGGTACTTGTAATAGAGTATTCAGGGTAGCAAATGGGGCAAGAAAAATCAAAAGAGTATTGTGTGAAGTTAATTATTCTTAGAGTGTGTAATCAACTGTGAAATTGTTGTCTTTGTATTAATAGATCAAAATTAATTATGTAGGGTTTAAATGTTTCTGACAAAAGACAATAAGTGTTATGCCAGTTCTTTTAGATTGCGAGTAAATCACCTATAATATCACAGTTTAGCAAAAGGTTTCCTTTACACAGAAGAGTGAAAATAAAGATACAAGATAAGAAATTAAAGAGAATTACAATAAACTGAGCGAAATACATGCAAATAATTATTTAACAAATAAAAGACTAGTACTGCCTTTATTAGCGCATTTATACTAAACAGTTTATTTATCAAAAGAATTATTCAAGATAAGACGGTTCTTATCCTTTTTACATTGAT